GTGATAAATTCAAAGCTCATCTTGCCTAACAGTTAAAGTGACTCCTATGAATAAGCAGGTAGCTAAATTGCTGAGGAAGTGTGGCAGTGGTAGTGACAGTCGCAATAGTCACAATAAGAATATCAATGGCGGTAATAATTGAAGCAATAGTAATACGTGTGGTGGCAGCTGTGGTTGTTATACTCCATCTTTAGCTTTGTGGGAATTTCAAATTGTTCACCAATCATATTATAAAAAAAACATTGAATGGCAGGTAAACATGTAAACTAAATATGACTCGTCCATATGGACAGAACACATTTAATTTCACACCTTTCATGAAGGCAAGCCTAGCGAGCAAAATGCACAAGGCACAAGGCAACAGACACAAACAATTTGTGCCAATTTATTAATACGTCAAATGTGCTGTCAGACGCAACCACCCAGGTTTATCAAAGGAAACGGAGCAGGCTGACACTTTATCAGAGCCTTGTTTGTGCTCCACACTCTACCTGTTTGTGAGGCTTTCACATGCAACTGCTTGCACGGCGGTGAGCAGCACAAATTCCTTTCCAGCCCAGCCTGCCAGACCCTCTAGCACAGAGCAGCCATACACCAGTCCAATCACAGCCCAACACATTCCCAGAGCCACCAGCATGACTACACGCGTTCATACCTCCATTGGTGCAGCCCAGGAAGTCCCAGAAATGCATGTTGACAGTTGGCACACAGAGGACCGAACCTCTGCGAAATCACAGACGCCTGCTTATGTTCCTGTTCGGTCTCTCCACTTCCTAGTTGTACTGTACGCTGTCACTTATAGGAGAGGGGAAACACCCGCCCACTGATTGTTTCAGACTGACACACCTGGGGGCTGAGTTTCATTTCCAAACCGCTGCCTCCTCCTCCTCCTCCTCCTAAGCTCTCATTTGTAATCGTCTTCCCACTACTTCTCCCTTCGCTTCCCATCTTATCCGGTACTCTCATCTTTATCTGTTTCTGACTGAAAACAGACGACTGTAAAGATTGATCCAACATCCTCGATTGTTTCTTTCCACATCCCTGCCTCTGCAGATTGGTGGAAGTAATGGGTGAGGAGGCAAGGAGAAACAGACAGAGGCCCTTTATTATCTATGGTGTGAATAACTCGGGTATGATAAATTATGATTTCTACTCACAGATTCTTCAAATGTACACAAGAATCTCACATTTGAATTTCAATCACACAGGACAGATGGCACAACTTGACTGACACGCACCAGTCAGGTTTCAATATATCTGACAGCAGACCTGTTTACAACACTGAGGAAAAGCCATGAATCACAGCACTGACTGGACATGCAATCGAGCAAACTTTAACTCGATTTTCAATGATATCTACACTGGGAAGGGCAGTGACTTGATGAAAATGCCAGGAAGTTAGATTTCTTGATAATTCACTAAACACTGTCATACTGCCTTTACAGGAAAACCTGCAAGATGCTCCATCATTAAGAGAATATAATTACATCTTCAGTTTATTAACCAGCATCGTCAGGCTTGCATTCAAGTATAAAAGAATTTAATATGTTCTGAGCTAGGTGCTATTCAATATCAAACATTGTTTTATCCCCACAATCTTTTCACAATATTATAGGAGTTTGGGGTCCTGACCCTCCAGTTCGGCTGCAAGGGACGTGTACAGGGATGTGAAAGAGGGCAACAGTCACATAAAGGCAGGAAACAAGATGGGGAAAAGGATGGAAAACAGAAATGTGTCGGAGCTTTGACTCCCAAACCCAAAAGTAAAACTGATAAATCGCATCCACAGGGCTGCTGGGCACCACTCTCAGCATGTTTAGTTCAGCAAATGGTGACATTGCACCTGAAATAGTACTTAAATCCCACCAAGCATGCTAAAAGGGATGATCGGCGCCCGGTTCAAATATCAATGCATTCACTCGGCCTACCACAGCGATAAGTGTACAGTATCGTGGTTGACAAGGCAGAAAGCAACCCAAAACTCTTGAGACGCTCAGGTTAAGTAAGAGCTGCCACCGCTTTGTCTCAAAGCCCGTTGCTCGCACCAACAAAAGTATCAGTTTGAGCAACACTTAATTCATCAAAACACAGATGTTTTCGCCATGGCGGTGTTGCTCTGCATGACAGAAACCCTCCTTGGCTTGGACCTTTGCACCCAACCGGAGGATCGGAGAGGGGTGGTTTCGGCCACTGCACCACTGTCTGTCTGTGTGGAATACAAATGACTTCGCGCTGTCAAAATGAACAGTATTTCACCTCATCCAGTCCACCATCATTTACCGTAAACCCCCATACCAGCTCACATAAACACACCCCCGCGTATTGCATTCGCGTTAACCCCATTGTCTGTGTGTGTGTGTGTGTTACCCCCTTTAATGCTAAGCTAGCTCCGCTAACGGTGGGCTATTCCCATTTAATCTGCCCCCCCCCCCCCCAGAGGGATCGATACTCACCCGCTTTAGCCCTGGAGCCCGGCCGCACCTACTCTCCGGAACCAGCCACCTTTTCCAGCCAGTAGGGTTGGATTGTATGTATGATTGCACCCCGTTGGTAGCAGAACCGGCTGGCTGTATCTCTCCGTTATGATCCCCTCTCCCTGTCTGTTTTTGTCCTCAACAGCGCCGTTCCCGGTAGTCGGTGTCCACTGACGCTAGCTGTTAGCACCGCCGCTGCTGCTGCTGCTGGAGCCTGAGCCTTTCCAACATGGCTGCAGCTGGCTGGGCTCACTGACAGCAGGAGAGGGGCCCTATACGTGTCCACCACACACAGCATGGGCCCCCCAAATGATTTTATATAAGACCACAATTATTATTCTTCAATTTATCTTTTCAAATAATGTCATGGAGCGTAAAGCTCAACAACATTCCCAATTCCCAAATTACTTTACACTGTGCAGTATGTGGTCAAATGTATGACTGTCTTTAGGGTCCGTATGGTGGTTGAACAGGGAATAATTAATATGTAAGTAACATGAAATTGCTCTCCACTTTTTCAGCCCCACTTTGGGCGAGTAATCACTGTGCTGGGAGGGCAGCCATCAAATCCACCTCATAGGACAAATCACAAATGTCTACCAAAGAGGAAGGCCATTTGCAGGATTTAGTGTTTTTGTGATGCAGCTACACCTATAAGCACATGAAATAATAGGAAACAGAAGATGTAAGAACCCACAGTCGAGCTAGAGCTTATGTCTCATGCTTAAGTGAACTCTTAAGAGATTTCTGTCATACATTATTCATCATAGTATTATAATGTAAGCCAAACAAAAGAAGCTTTGAAATAAAGATGCTCCCCAAACACACACACAAACAAAATTATTGTGACTTTGATGCTGGCTGCCATTATGCTGTGGTGGGTCTGTGTGTCTCCACTGTCTCGCTGTCACCGCCCAAAACAATCCGTCTACTGACGGGCCTACACACAGTCCCACCTACACATACAGTACATTCATGCATGCAGCTAATATCCACACACAACTGCAGACACATACTCAGTTCAAAGATTATTTGCAAACAGAAGAGTGATGCAAATTATGGCACAAGGGAGGGAGACACTTAGGTTAATTAAAACTCACGACGTCATAGTTACATGGTGTCCGCTGGGCCAGCAATATACTCCACACTCGTGGCAGTCACAATGCTTAGCAGCTGTTGGGGGGGGGACACATTATGTTTTGTTTAAAATGAATGTATCCAAACAGCATGGGGGAAAAAGGAAAGGGTAAATCAACCATGAGCCATTTGCAGATCGTAGGCCCCACTTATATTCGGTACTGTATGCAGGTAAAACTCCACTGTATACTGTAGTTAGAGCGGTTGATGTTGTGTATCACACAGATATTTTCTCGACAGCAGTGTCTGTGATGGAGCTGCAGCTTTACTTAATAGAGTTTTATTTGATTCAGATTTAAACATAGTCAAAATGTACGAATAGAGGCACAAGCGAAACGAAAGCCAGTTTCCAGATTTAAGAAGGGGAAGTATATTAATACACTGAGGTCATTGGAATGACTCCCACCTTGCTTGCACATTTCTTGTTTAACTCCTCCTTGATTTGTTATTTTTTGCATATGTGGTACATAATAAGATGGGTTCTAAACAATGAAAAATAGTTATAGCTTAAACAGGATCAGGATTATCAAAGAAAACAAAAAAGGATGAATCTCTCATAGCATATGAGTGTGTACGGGGATTGAATAAACAGGGATTAGAAACAAAGTATTATACAGTACAATGCACTTTAATCCAGCCTTCTAGGAAGGGACAAGGCTAAATATGAACCACAAAAGATATTAAAAAGATCAATGCGTGATATTAAAAACCGAGCAGATGCTGGACATTTGACATTTGACTTGAATGTTATTTGTCTGCATGACTGCTGGTGATTCACTGTGAAAGAGAACAGAAGAGGTTATATAGCGCCATCTAGTGGACAGTTTGGAGAGGTACCCTATGATTTTGTTTTCAACCAGATTAACATTAAATGTTTGTACATCAGACTATACCATCAGAGCATGTTTATACAAAGTACAATCTCTTTGCAAAATAATGAACAATGTTTCTTTAGAATTGAATACAATCCGGTGTGGTTGAGAACTTGCACACACACACCATCAATTGTGATAACAAGAAAGGCCTTCCACCATCATGACAGCCATGATGGGGTTTTCTCATCACACCAGCAGTAATTGGCATCTGGTGAATTGAATCACAGTAAATAGACAAAAAAAAAACAATGTTGATGGACAGCAATGACCTTTTGCATGACATATAAAGATTGATGTAATTAGATTTCCCTTTTTGTAAAAGAAAGTGTAGACGTTCCTGGAACATTTACTGATGTTTTGATCGCTGCTCTCAATTGAAATACTATCTGAAGTATACTGTATCTCGAATGTCTTCTTTTTCACTTAAAAGAGTAGGACTGTGTCACTGATTTAGCATTGCACATGAAACTATCAGACTCGTGACTGAAAATCGAAGACGCAGAACCAGAACATATTGTCTTTTTTATTTTTTATTCATTTTACAATTAATCCAATCAAATAACCAAGATTCAATGGTGATTATATGAACAACAGTATTTTGTCAGAATTATGTTGTTTGTATTACTGTAATAATCACAATCTTATTTGATAGCTGGTTTTGTCATTTGAATCCAACATGTTTAGTTGTAGGGCTGCTAAGTTCAAGATGCATGACAGTGATAGCAATAAATGGTAAAATAACAGGTCACAGTGTTCTGTTTTTCATATGTAGAATAAATGAGGGCCACTTAGATGACTAACAGTACAATAAACACTTACATCTGTTTTAATGATTGAATTGAATGTAACATGTTTTTACACAAACAATATGACTTTGTTTTCACAAAATTGCCAAAGCCAGTCCAATTTAAAACAACAATTTCTGATCTTAAACTTCTATCAGTAACATATTACCGGTTTATATCACACAACTCTCACCGTTGCATATAATCAATACACATTAGCTATGAACATCCAGTTAGTACACTAGTAAATACTGGATCTTTTCATTTTAATTATATTAATAACATGAATACACATCTGAGTTTTACATAAACACATAATTTCCAAAGAAAACATTTCAGCTTTCACAATTTCCTCATGTAGTGTCTATTGTGATAAATATCAGAGCAAGAGGAAGAATCTCTGGTACTAGATCAGTCGGGAGAAGAAAAGAAAGAAAAGAGAAAAGAAGACGAACAGGGACTGTGAGAGAAACACATCGTAAAGAAGGATACAGAGAGACATACAGCAACAGTTCAGAGAGAAGGAGACCAGTTGGATGGAGAGATTGGGAACAATGCCAAGAGAGAGACGCAGGAAAGGTTTGTGCAGTTGATGAGGGACTCAGAGGGACAGCGCAAAGTCACATGAAGGTTCACGACCTTTGACCTTTCAGCTGGAGATAGTGCAGAGTAAAGGGCACGACAGAGAGAAGCTGTCTGGGTAGATATAATGAGGTATGCTTTGATTTATGTGCATGGAATTTAGTGCAGAGTGTGCTGTAGGACTCCGCTTAAGTGGACTTTGACGAGATTTGGTTACTGTTGGAATTACACTCCATGGAGACGTCGGTGTGCGAGCGCCCGCGCTTCTCCTCGGTGCTGTGCGAGTGTGTTCGGACACACTGCAGCTCGTTGGTGTGCGCGCGACTCCGAGAGCCATCGACGGACGAGATGCTGGAGCTGGAAGCCGTCCGGGAACGAAGTCTAGTCATGCTGGCACTGGACACTGGAGAAAGAGGAGAGATGTTTCTTATATTCTGCAACAGCTTTTAATGGTGATTAGAGTTTATTCAATCAACGGTTTGCACAATATTGATTCAACCTATGCCTTTATCATTTTCTGCCCTAAACGCCTCATGAGGGGTTACAATAATCCTCTCATTTACAGGAAGTGACGTTTAATAGGGGTTTGTTAGAAATAAACAGAGGAAGAATTGAGTAGCCGCCATAACTGACAGAGATGGGAATACTTTCAGGACTGATCTCTCATTTGAGATAACTCTAATTTAAGATTTGGATAGTTTAGGCGAGTGACTTACAGTATCCCATGCCCTGGATGAAATATTTCAAAGCTTCAATCACTTTGGCTGGCTGTGGAGAGAAAGATGAAAAGTATTAAATATATTTCCAACCAATCAGGAGTGCAGATTCTACATTATTGCCAGCGGAGTTGCCAATAAAATGTCACAGCCCACCTGATCCACCTGAGGAAGTCCTCCACAGTCCGCCATCTAGAAGAGCAAAGTGCAAAAGTCACGCTTTACCCGGTGTTAGGTTAATGGACTTTCAGTTGAATTAATTACAAGTTGTTATTTGACAATAACAGATGACTCATTTCACAGGTTTGCAGCTTTAACTTTAATTATTTGGTTATTTGCTTAATTTTTGAGTCAGTCAGTCCTTTGGTTACCTTGAGCAGTGTGGTCTTGGTGGGGTCGAGTTTAGAGTTGCAGTCGACCACGGCCTCCACAGCTGGAGAATTATCTCCTACAACCAGCAGAGTGGAGCACCTGTAAACCAACACACAGACAGGTGAAACAGGCAGGAAAAGTAAGACACATAGGATAGGATAGGATTGACAGAGTCCGCTTCAACAATGTAATGATGATGACCTACACTTTGTTAGATGCTTTCTACCTCTTACCACTAACAAGGACATTATAATATGTGAAAAAAACATCAGACTATCCATTTTGAATTTCCTGCTACTATGCCCTCTGTAAAGATCAATGTTTGTACTAACTTGAGGGTTCTGGCATTGATGTTTCCTCCAGGAACAGGCCTCTCCACCTCCAGAGCGTTGCGTTTGCTGTAGGAGTGGAGGAACTGAGTCACGTTGGACTGGTTCATCGTTGTGGTGATGTTGTGACGGTATGTAGCTATGAGGTCATGGTTGGTTTCAATCTCATCCTGAAAAATCAGTTAGGCAGGAAGACAGAAATAATCTGTATTCTATATTTAAGACGGACTTGATATTTAGTAATCAAAGATGTATTTAAAGATTCACTTTTGTTGTCCTGGTAACTAAGTAAGCCTGATAGCTTACCTTTCCAAACAAGTGTGTGATGACTGTGTCCGGGAGAGTGTGGGTCCAGCCGGTGATCTTTACACAAAACATACACACAATTACATTCAGCTACATTCAGATAATAGCCTATAATACTATATCTACGTTACAGCAGGTTTAAAACAATCATGAAATGAAAAATCAAACACAAGGACAAACACTGTCACTACTCTTCTTGTGGCCTATAATCTAATATCTGTCAATACAGCCGGTTGTATTGATTGAAAGTAACACATTATTTGGAACAGGTGTTGATCTTATTCTACATACATTGTGGGTGATCACACCACAAATGCTGCTCACCTTGCTTGCAACAGAATCCATTAGTCCTTCAGCGCTGGGGTTGATGTTGATCAAGACCAATCCGTCCACCATATCTGGGTGATTCAGCTACACACACAAACACAGAGGACCTGTTAGTAATATGAATTCAATAACTCATTTACCTATATTAACATGTTTTTCTGCAGTTCTCTCATTTTAAGTGTGTCGTGTTCTTGGATTACATCATTGATTTCTATAGCCATAGATTTCATCTGATTTACGTAAGTGCTTGTGTACACTAGAGGGAAAGTGAGGGTCTGTGCCGACAAGTGAAAGTTTTGGCAAACCAAGTATCAAACTATGCTCTCATTACGTGTCAAGTTCAAATGGGATTTAGAGACGACATTTGAACTCACAGCAAATTTAGCAAGGATGTAGGCTCCCGCTCCAACTCCCAATCCGATCACCCTAGACAACCTGCAAAGCATACAATCAAAAGGTCAATCTGAGGTAGATCCTAGTGTGTCATGTGAAAATAGTCTAACCTTTAACGACAGGACAACTGAAAAGTGTTTGTTGAGTGTCAGATTAACTCACCCAAAGTGTTTGAGGACAGCGGGCAGCGCTTCAGACAGCTGGTCCATGGAAGGGTAGGAATAGCTGAAGGGTCAAAAGTCAACATAACCATCAGCAGGTGTGGGATCCACTCCCTTTTAACTATATTGAATTAGTTATTGGTGTATGAAATTACAGCATGAAACGTAAATACATTACAGACTGAGAAAAACAAAGACAGTGAACTGACTCATTATGCAGAGTTTTGGCTCCCTCATGTTGTCCTGGTGCTTCAACATGACAAACAGGCAAATGTCTGATGATTTCCCGCATGTCCTCGTGGTTGAAGAGTGTCTCAAAAGAGGACTTGTCTATGAGAAGAAAAAACAAAAATTACATAAATTCCGTTGAAATTAAGTGATAAAAGGTGATAGGAATATGAAATATAATATAAGGAAACAAGACACAAGCAAATAAAAAATATACATCACTCAGATATATATTTATTTATAGAGAATAATACATTAGAAATGCGCAAGACGCTTGGATTAAACTGTAAAATAAAGTGTTGATGGATATGAAATATTAGAAAGAATAGTTTGATGCATTCATGCAAACAAATATTATTTTTCATAATGAACCAACAAACTGTATTTCTTAAGATACAATACCAGGGAAATGTAGTTTTCAGCTTAGCTGATATAAACAAAGTGATGAGTGATGATGGATACAAACTTTACAAACACCACACTATTGTTGGGACTTACGGTTCAGTCCAACATCATGAAATGTCAGGATGACGGGGAGGTTTGCCTTCAGAGTTCCTGTCATGATGCAGTGGACGTTCCCATAGTGAGTCTCCACATGCTCCTCCTAAAAAATAATTTATATTGGAGATAAAACTTAGCTGAATTTCAGGAGCAGGACCATACCTCAGCCACTCCCCTACTTCCGGCCACACTCCTATAAATACCCACCGACACTAAACCTCGGCTTGCCACGCCTTTCGCACCCCACCCTCCCTCCCTCTCGTTAAACCACTTCACTAAAGGTTATCTTCCCCCATAGTCAACATCCACTGTCCCATATGGACCGGGGGGTCTGCAAGGCCCGGGAGCCGCAGTGGACCCTCAACCTAGCCTTTCCCCAAACCGCTTCATCCAGGCTAACCTCCACCAACCATTCCTCAAACTCTCCAAACAACCGACGAAGGCTCGCTCTGGCCGAGGTGGGGCCCTAAGCTAGTGAACTGGTGTTTATGTGTGGCTGAAGTAAAACATTTACAAATTAAGTTTATGTTTTAGCAGATTAGAGCAGTGTTTCTATAAATTTTTAATTTGAACTGATAATATAATATATATATATACTGTATATATATATATATACTGTATATATCTTCATAACATGACACCCAATTGTCTATGCACTCTATATGTAGCCATGCAGTAAAAAAAACCTGTGGTATCGAGGTAAAAGTCATGTAACTTTGCCCAAGGATTATAGCTGTAGCAGTGAATTTAGCAGCAAGGTTAACTTAAGCTCTCTGTGGGGTACTTACAGTGATTTGGAGGTCAAAGACAGAGTCACACTCATTCTCCTCGAGCACCATGGCTGCTGATGCGGAGAGATGTGCGGTAGATGGAGAGCAGATGTCCCGTGTAGATCTTGGATTCTTAAATTTTGAGGCAAATATTTTTTTATCCTTATTCGTATTTCTTGACACTTACAGTCCTGCAGAAAGAGACGACCTGAGAGCAACAGCGCGTTATGTGTGTGGACAGATTTGTTTGAGCTGGTTTATATATCCTCCAACAATGATCTGCCTCTAAGCCCTAACTCCAACCTGGTTTACACGTGACCAACTGGCCCCATCCTGTTTTAATCTGACCTCCGGCTGCTTTTCCACAGAAACAAGTCCAAAGGGGAATTAACCAGAAGATCTTACACTCAAAAACACAACTCTTTACTGGGATGTTTTCATCCATCTTAAGATACTTTGAGCAACATTTTCCAGCTGTAATTACAGATGATCGTGACATTTATTTCTAGATATTTATTAAACTTATCGTCTTTTAAAATCACCTTTGAATAATGTATTTGCATGTTTCATGCGCAACAACTGAAATGAATTGAAAACAACTAACTACGGTTATGTAGGGAAATAAATTGGACTAAATGCACACTTTACCCACTTACATTGAAATCACAGGTAAAGCTTGTTATTCTTGCTATGAGGCGTCAGAGGAATCACAACACGTTCAGCCAAGCCGTGATCAGTTCAGCTGTCTAATCTCAGCGAACCATCTGTTCGTCACAGCAAAACATTCAGCTCTTTGCAGTTAAGTTAACCTTGACCCGCCTGCTAACTAGTACAAGTTAATTTGGATTTGGTCATGTTGCTCTTACACAGCACTAATTAATCCGACATTATACAAGTACATTTAAAAAGCTGTGATACTCTTTGACTTTCTTCTAACTTCGTTTTTAAAGCCTTTTTTAAAGATGGAACTCTACATTAGCGAAGTACTATTACTGATACATCTTAGCCTTCAACTTCCCAAATCTATTAAATAAAAACAGATGGGATTCTTCAATGGAATACTTGTCTGGGTGTAGCATTGAATGACATAGTTGATACCTAGAAACTATTCTGTAAATATGTTTGATTGTTTATTTTATATGGTTTGAAAATGTTTTTTCAAGATAATCTAATCGTCACTTTACAGGGCAGTGTAAGGGAATTCTTCAAAAGTTGTTTTATGAATAATAGATGAATACATTTTCAGATACAAAGCAGTTGAATGAGGCTATAGACCAGGGGTCTCATTTATAAGTGTTCTTCCACGCGGTAGTTGCCGTGATTCACCATAAAGATCCACTGATCAGCAGGCTCATCTCTAATTATCAACATTCATGAGGTGCTTTGCGTTGACCATTTATGGTTGAATGTGGGCGTGTAGAGGGCGGGATGTGAGGCTGAACCAGCTGCACACATTTACAGGTTGATTTGGGATTTATAAAAGGAAATTGTGCACTGGCAGATGAGCAAGGTTTTCTAAATCTAAATATTTTTGGGCTACGTGCATTTGAACCTCAGCTATCCCCTCAGTGTAAAACACTGAATCCTTAACATTGTGACCGTCAGCATGCAGCAGACTTATTTATTTTGTCATTGTCCCTGGCATATATAATACTCTCTGTGATGTATTAGAACATGTTGTAGGGGTCTAGACAGCGGCAGGTGGACGACACTGCAGAGACTAACAGCTGGCTGAGCGGAAACACAGGAGACTGTGCTGTGACCACCTTCTTTATTACGGCATATTGCCTCCACTGCTTTGACGTAAAACACAGCGAGATGAGAGCTGAGTGTGTAGCAGGTTTAATCCATTTAGTGGTTGCAGATGGGTCTTACTCAGCCTCACGTCAGCCTGAAGCCATTTTAACGCCATCCTAACTCTGACTAAACTTTGGTCTACGAGCCTATTTCACCATTGACCACTGCCCCATAGTTTGTGATCTTTTCAATTGATCATTGTGTCACTTATTGTGCAAAGGAAAAAACATCAACCTGTATTTTTCTTGCTTAGATGTTTTGTTCTATAGTGTGTCTGAGGTTTAGAGTGACTGTATGCATAATCCCACTAGTTGTAGTATCAATATTAAAACACAGCAATGGCAATACCAGTCTAATACAACATCATTCTGAATACTGCTCTGAAGTAATCCCTCATTAGGTGGGAAGTAAATAAGTAGGGTAGGGTCAAATAATACCATACACTGATTCAGGATCCGAAGAATAAAGTCATACAAATGAAGAGAACACTTTAAACATCTTATGGCTACGTCATGTGAACAGAGTGACAGTGAGCCAGTGAGCCAGCATGAACAATGTCAGGACCCATACATGTAGCATTCATCAGCTTTGGTACTCAAACCCCACATTCATAAAAGAGCCATATGAAGCTGCAACTGATCTCAAACACTAATCTTGTTGTGTTTGTAGCAGCACATTCTGCACCTGTGTGTCATTTCCACTAGATGGAGGTAGAATGTCGACTTTCTGGATGCAGCTTGTCAACCGGCAGCATGAATAAGATCAGAATAAGATCAACACCCTGCTTTGTTTTTCACCTGACAAACCTTGTTTTTGAAATGACTGTTGCTTTATATCACAAGTACTTTGTATGTACTTTCCCATAGCTTGAAATTTACAAATGTGGCATTACATATATTCAATAAGATATCTGTGGAAGTCACTTGGAGCTTTTTTTTGTTTGTTTTGAAATCCATGTGGGTGTGTCTATTTCAAAACAGAAGGATTGGATGGTGAGATGGAAAGTGAGCTTTGAAAGCCAGACATCTCAGCATATGGTGAAGTCCTCCTTGACTCACGAGTATTGATCTGGAACCTTCTATTTAACCTGTTGCACATGTGTTATGGACATTCTGTGTTGTTGGCGAGAAATAAGTATTGCTTCTATAACAACAGGTTGCATGAGCGCATGTATCCTACACTTTATTTGCTTTCTTTCTTCATGATCTTCGGGGCTGCAAGGCTTACTTATACATACTTACATAATGTTCCTGGCAAGTAAAGTTGCATTGTCATGCTGACAGCTGGTTGTCAAGCAAACTCTTCAGTCTGCAGGTGAAAGTCCTGCTGTCCAACTCTCAGCTTTCAAAAACTCTAATTATACACACAGCAGCTGCTGCTGCTTGCCACATGCTTGACTGTGTGTGTTTGTTGTTTGTGTGTGTGTGTGTGTGTGTTATTAAGTATGTATAGGATTTTTCTCTGAACCTGTGTGTGTGTGCGCGCGTTCTCCTGTAAGTATGTTTCTGAGGTCGTGTACGTGTTTATGTGCACAAACACACAGGCCCTTTCCACACTTCCTTGTATAGTATGATCAGCTAAGGGTACAGTATGACATGTTATTTTCATGACCTGGCTAGAAAAAGAGGTTTAGGTACAGTAGGTGATTTGCTGTGGGGTTAAGCCTTAAAAGTTTGATCCCTGAAACAGTTTTTTTTAACTAAAAGTAAAGTAAAGGTCCACTAAATCTCCCCAATGGCTCTTAATCCTTTTCTGGTTTTATTTGATTTAGTTTTAGAGACCTGAAAAGCTGCAAAAACTATCCATTATTCAAGTGAAAACAGGCAAAGATGAAAGAAATGTTGGATATGTTTTCCTGTTTTCCTAACTTGGTTATCTGCTTGCGATCCTTCAGAGTTATTTTGCAACCTAGGGGGGTCCTGCTATACATGACACTGTTAAATATAATACAAGTCGTGTATCTATTAGCACGGTATTGCATTACATTTGATCATAATGTCCTGTATCATATCATATAGACAAAACCTGCAACACAAGATCCCTCCAGATCAACTGCAACCTGCAGTCATCATAAACTGGTATAGGTAACACTGACATACAGTAACTAATCATTTGTTTCCTTGAGTAATCTAGTTGAACTTCAAAATATTAGCATGGCTCAAAACAGGAAGCCCCTGAAATAGGATATGATCCAACAAGCAGCATAGTGCTGCTTCTCCACCACGCAGTCCTCCATGCTGCGTCTTCATGCACTCCGTGTGTGAAACAGGAAATGGCAGTTTACAGTATAAAATATAAAACGGTTGGGAGAAACCCCTTTTCATATCCAGTTTCATAGTTGCTCCGGGGATTACACAGTATTTCACACTGCTGCATGAGTAGTGTGCCTGGGGGACAGAATTACAAATTAGTCCAGGGGAGGGGACGCACTGTGTAATTGTATATATCAACATGGTTCAGCACCATTTCAGTCATTCCTCAGGAGTGATTGACACAGAAATTTATAGAGACATCAGTAGTCAGGACATGGATTAATGAAAGATTAACCTTGTATCTGAGTAGTTTAAAGATAAAGATGGATAATTAATAAGGGATTACCAACTGTAATTACAGCGTAGTATACAAGTCATTACAAGAGTAACTTTACTTTAGAAGCTAAGCTTTGCTTACATCCTTTGCTTACTTGTATTGGAGTATTTTCACAGTGTGGTATTAGTACTTTTACTGACGTAAAGGATCTGAATGCTTCTTCCACCACTGTAGTTATTCATACCATTGTAAACTGGATGATAAACCAGTCAGTTATAGACTATGGTTAGATCACTGTAGGTCAGACTTTTTTTTTTACAGGAGGCTATGTCTGTATTCAACAGCCACAAATACAACAGAGGGAGACGAGAGACTGAGCCAGATTAGAGAGCTTCTATAAAGGTAATCGGAGGTTTAAATAGCACCAATCATTACATAAAGCCAAGAATAGCTTTCCAACGATAATCTAGTAAATCAACAGGTAAACAAAACTTGACAATCATACGAGAAATAGTTAAGTAACAAACATGCAAAGTAATGGAGTGTGTATGTTCATAGTGTTAAATGTATTTATGCAATGTCGTTTTATTCTCCAGCAAACCTCTTAAACTTTGGCAGCAGCATTGGTTCTTCTTTAATCAGTAATTTCACAATATGTCATCTTTTAAATTAAAAAATGCACTTTGACAAATACACACACACACACACACACAGTTTGACAAGATATGAATTGAAGAATATGTTTGGCATGACTCAAGATCAAGAGATATAAAGTGCCATTGTCATAGTATTTAGCCGTGTTGTCATGGAGGCCATGATTTAAGAGTTGTTACACTGGAAGGGTTTGATATGAGACAACAAGGTGATAAATTATCCCCTTTCATAGTTGCTGCTTTAGTCCAACTCTGGCAGGTTAGTCTGAGCATAATGATTCATAACTTCCATCATGGCCACCATCAGCAATGTTTGGTTTATGAAAATATGGCTTGAACTCTTCCTTGACATTTCGTTAAAGCTGAGGTGTAAGGATTGTGGAGCCTTTGCAGGTCAGACCATTGCTTTCATGACGCCACAGCCGGCGCACAAAGTGTCCTTTCGGCTCTGTCAAAAGCACAAGACTGCCAGCTGAGAGCTGACCTACAGGGTGTCAGCTCACATTTCCAGAAAACATTGCAGCAACCCTGTTTAGGCCAGTGCAATGCTGTTGGTAGTATCAAAACAGACGGTCCCACTGGAGCTGACTGTTCCTCAGGAGGATCATATGGATGAAGCCTTGAGAGGAAGAGTATGTGCATTGACAACAAGAAGACGGAGGGACGATGTCTCTGGTGTGTAATGGCATATATTTTATTCAAAAGTTCAAAAGAAACTGACATTCGTAAAAGAGCTCTGAGTGGTCAGAAGACTAGAATGGCGCAATACAAATACAAGTCCATTTACCAATTAACTTTAAAGGGATACATTCAAATGCTGCTGAAATTGACTCACAGATTCTCAACATTTTTTACATAAAATGCTGTATACAAAACATAATATAACATATCATGAATTGCCAAATGCGTAATCACACTTCAAGAAAATAATTGACAATGTTTCTGTCATGTTATCTATAAATATTCAAGTTTCCACTGCATTAAAATAATTCTCATATTCAATTTAATTTATAACTCAACCTGTGAAAACAATGGAAATCCAGCCTTTCCACACTTACTTTGATGTACTTTTTTGTTGAATGCTTAGGTGGATTATTATCTCCGCCCCGGAGATAATGAGATCAGTCGTGTTTGTGTGCGCACCTGCACAGACCCTGTGCAGACATCTGCATATTACAGTGAGAGTGAAAAACACGTCTGACACACTAGTGGTCTACATTAGCTAATTGTAGTTTGTATTCATTTAATTAAACATTACTGTGGTTGCTGCAGACACTCCTGGCGGAGATCTGCACTCTATTGAGTGCACCTTTCTAGTTTGTTTTATAGATGATTATTAAAGCAATGCAGTCAGTCAGCCTCAATAACCCTGGTTGTATGTATAACTCAGGTAATGTTTATAGTCTGTCTAAATTGGCTTTGTGATCTCAGAAACAAATTGCAATGTCACCCTCAAACTTTTTGTTGCATGCCGTGCCCATGTTCCTGTCTCTTTTGACTGTTTACAATCATAGCGATGCCACCTGTGCTTTGAAAGGTGTAAAATACACGTACTGAATAATGTGTGAACAAGCCATATTCACCTCTATTCTATGTTTAGATGTTGTTTGCAGTCAAAGGCAAACTAGTACCCTCTCTTTTTCCATCTTAGGTTTTCATCTGTCTAACAGCCACTTTGTTTTTGGAAACCCGCTGATCACCACTTCTGTCTATATTTACACTGATTATCTGGAAACAAAGGGGACAGGTCACCATAAGGAAAGTATCAAGTGAGATAGCACTGGGTCATCATACAGAAGCCGAATGCTTCTCACCATAATGCAAGCAACAATCACAGCTCCATTTCTGAGAGCATGTAAACACACAGAAAATGACTTAAGCAATAAACAGCAGTCATGATCCTGAACGCTCCAATTTGAATGTGATAAACTGGAAAGCGTTCAAGTAGTGTGTTTTTTAAAGTTCTGTGCGTGGGGGAACAGTCATGTCAACCTCTACTCAAAGTGATTGATAGTGAGTGAGGCCCCTGCTTGTTCTGCTTTGAGACGTCTGTACATATGACTACCTTGTGACTCTCTGCACTCACATATCCATCCCGTAACCTTGTAAACAAACCTTAAAAACTCAAAAATACAAAGCTGCATGGATTTTTTTGGAAGCCTGCTTTAAATGACATGAAAAAAAGTGTCCTGCAATTTTCCCTCTTTTTATTGAGTCTTTAGACAAACACTGAGGCAAAGCGCTGAGGCAACAGCAGTAGTAGTTCCACACAGTAGTTTGGCTGTAGGAACACAAACAAATGTGAGACTATTTGTCAGTTAAGGAGAAAGTCAATTCCGTGAACTGGGACTCAAAGGTTTTACTTGTCCAATATGTCTGGTAGTAACTCAAAGGAACGTCTATTTTTAGTTGGTACATGGAGGGACAGGGGGGAGAGAGGGAGAAAAGGAAAACAAGAGAAGGTCCAGACAGATGTGTCAAGACAGAAACAACCCATTGGACCTCCAGTTTCACAAATTATTTTCGTTATATTTGAGAGAAACATGAACTGAAATCACTGATCTGTCATGATCGTGTTCCTGTGCACCGTACTGAATGTGAGACCACACACTTCCTTGACCGAGCCTTGTAAGCATCAGCCTATAGGAAGGGTGAGGAAAGGGGAGGACAGCAACTCTTCTTTACCCTGGAAGAGGGGAGGGAAAAAGGAGTGGAGTGGATGAAGAGCACGAGGAGGAGGGAGTGAGGCTCTTCTGCTCTCCCTCTAAGAGCATTAACTGTAGAGTGTTCTGGTAGTGACAGGGCTGTCAGGGTCAGATGACTGCTCAGCCTGATTAGATCAGCTCACAGCAGATCCTCAGTCCAGAACACTGCAATGCTACAGCAAGGTAGAGCCACAAAGTACAGTCCAGATATCGCAACGGTTACTGATAGGCCGGGAGGTACAGGGAGAGTTCAGTGTTACAGTGAGGCAGTGCAACAGGTTGTTGCACAAACACTTCATTTTCTACTGGTTGACTACCAGACATTACAGCTTCCAGAGGCAGAAAAAAAGACTAAAAGTAGGTGGACTTTTCTGTGGCAAAGAGGGAGAAGAACTAATATTCAGCCTGGTGTTGGAGATGACATTGAATAGCAGGTAAGGACTATCACTTTATAGATATGTTGCTAGATACAGTGATCAAGCTAATCACAGTTCTTCACTGGAACAGACCGAGTGAGAAGACAGGGCTGCACTAGCGTTGCAGACTGTTGCTTCCACAAAATAATTGTAGTGTGTCATAGAATGAGCTGCTCGTATAGATACAGCTATAAATACAGCTGCAGGTATTCAGTGTCTACAGGAGTTTACTATAACAGGCAGTCAGCTGGTTGTAGGTCAGCACTCACACTGTTGAAGGATTACTGCATGCTTTTGCGGGACTAACTGTGGTTTGTGGATTTTCCTGTTCAGCAGCAAAGTTGTCCACTGAGGTAAGAGGGAAGACTGTCTGTTTACTGTTTCAGAAACAACTCAAATGTAGGCATTTAGCACATCTTCTCTTTCAGAGTGACTTGTGATTGGAGCTGCTGCAGAAAACTTCCTCTGTAGTTGTCAACAGAGGTGAATGTGTAAACAGGATTGGTCCTTTTTGAGGCTACTACTAACCTGCCTTGTTGTTGTCTTTACTACTAGCCTGCAAGGTTACTGTGTTTCACATTGCACGTACTGTAGAATAGTTTGGCAACCTGACGCAGCTCCAAAATAATATTGAGATCCATTTTTAACTTCTTTGTGACCTGCCCCAGCCTGTGACACGGAAGCAGCCAGGCAGCCAGGCGACCATGGCGACGCACCTGTTTTTATAAACTGAACTGCGCTCTAAGGTGACAGAGAAGATCTGCCTTACAGTTTCAATTGGAATTACTGCTACCGTCTCGTCATTTCCCTCATGTTCCTTTATGCTTTCATATGATATTTTTATATTCAGTCGCTCGGCTTTAGAGGTCAGCTAATGTCTGCTAAATGTATGCACTACTTGTGAAAAGTTAGTATTGAAATATGTTTAGATGCTTTGGAGCTTTTTTTTTATACCTCGTCTGTCTCTCAGTTTCAGTAAATTCACTGCTTGGTCTTGTCTGTGACAGTACAACATTTTTGCTTTCATCCTGTGTGTCTCATCCTGTGTGGCATCTTTATAAAAACTCATTTAAGTAGTTGTTCTATCGACACTTTGCATTGACTGGATGGAAATTTAATGACGTCTATCCTGATTAGTGGTAACAACAGGATAAATTCCTAATTATAGATAGTCAACAACCTGGAATAGACTGAGAGTTAGTGAGTAAGTCGGCATGTGATTATGAAGAGTGTGTGTGTGTGTGTGTGTGTGTGTGTGTGTGTGTGTTGTATTGTCTGAGCTGAGATGAAGAGGTGAGGATGGATTACCCAGAGTACCTCTGGACTTTTGCTTGTTGTTTGTCTGAATACAAGATAATCAGCATTTGTTTTTCATTTTCTTGGTCAAGATAAAATACTTTTCACCTAAGTCCATCATGTTTAGTGCCAGCCTTTTATACATGTGATATTTCAACAGCTTTATCAGACAAGTTTCTTTCTAAATTATTACTTGTCTACCAAGTACATTATTGAACTTGTTGACTTGAGAAGAAACTGCATTTTTATTTCCAAGCAGTGTCCATCCTTTATCCTTGAACCAAAAAAGCATATTGTATATTGTCTTTTACATCACAGTATTAAGGGAAATGAGCTGTTCAAGACACAATATTATCTTGGCTAAAGGTCATCATTTAAATTTTGTTAAGCTCAAACTAAATATAATTTAAACATATGTACTTACATGTACTTATCATCATCACACAACTACTGTCTGCATGACAACATATGCCAAAGTTTATGGCTGTTGTTGCATTTTTCACAAAGTAGTGATCTGACATACAGTACATAACCAGTCTATGAGCCCTGCTCTCCCTGAAGTAGCCATTGAGATAACCTTCCTTTTTATTTTGTTCTACGGTTGGTATTCCAACATGTGGTGTTTTGTCCCAAAGGCTGAGGAACTGCCCTAAAGTTCCACTACTCTTCTACATTTGCATCCTCCTATACTTTAAGTATACCACTGGTTTTCTGAATGTATCTATTTTTTCCCTTCAGACCAAATTTGATTTGGTTGATATTGTGCAGGCTAATATAATAACGTTACCCATATTTTGTGAGCCTCGTGTATTAGATTTTCTAGGTCATGCTGCATCTGACATCAGTTTCCCAGTATTCTTGACTATTTCATGAAAGTAGAACCACTTTTGTGCATCGTTCAGTGACTCCATACGGTGACAGTTTACTGATCATTGTGTGTGTCCAGGCAAGGTAGAATCAAGAATTTAATTTTAAATAATTACAAGGACCAACAAATTTCCAAAAGTCCACTTAGGTTTATGAGTGATGGACAAGTCTGACCTCTTATAAAATAAAATAAAAAATCTGTCAATTTCATTTAGTATTTGAAACTGATGCTTTTAAAATCTGTATAAATGCACATGTGTGTGTTTATCTAAGTGCATTAGCCAAAGCTTCCCTCCTGTTTGCCTCCATATTACTGACGAAGACTGTCATTACGATATTTTGCCATACAGTTTAAGCTGATCTTTGCAGAACACTGGAACAAATGCTGAATTATTGATATTTGATTTGTACCAATTGTAATAACTGTTTTTCTGAAAGTTGTTGATTTGAAGAGTTACATTTATTTTGTATGTTTTGCAATTTAGAATTGCTGGTTGATGGAGTCTGTGCGGCGGAGTGGTGACTACTGCCACGCCCAACACATTTAGAGCCTATCTGGGATGAAGCTGCACCATGCAGTCCTGCGGCCCTGAAACCTGAAAGAACATTGGCCCTTGCCCTGTGAACCAGCCAGTTCATGGGGTAACACGTGGAGCCTCAACACTGGAAGTTAACTGGAGAGAGAAAGAAAGAGTGCTACTGAGAGAGAAGGACCGAAGCAGTGACAATCAGAGAGATAAAAACAGAGAAACACTGTAGCTTCCTGGACTACAATCAGCTGATGGAGTAAAACTGTACTCAAGACAACAGGACCTCAGAATTGGGAAAATACCTTAAAGGCTAAAAACAGTATCCCAACAGAAGGTTCAATAAGAGACAATAAGTCCAGAGTTACCTGAAGACCTGCTATTAGTTGAAAACACAGCAGCTACCTACAGCTGGAGCTAAAGGTGAGAGGTGACTGTTCACCTGAGCTTCACTAAATATGGTGATGCACCAACACTTTTAAACTCCTGCATGTTACTGACTTGTTGTGACTTGGTTATAGGATTCTGTGGTAGTTTTTTTAGTTAGGTCAGTGTGAGCTAAAATCAGCGTTTGGCTTACCTTGTAAGATTTATTTACAAGAATGCTTTCATGTTCCAGGCCTTGCATATAAATACATCACGCTCCCTATTTCCAGAACTAGTTCATGTTTTTTTTGGGAAGTTTTAGCACAGTATGCTCAGATGAAATGTCTTTCTCTGTAAATAATACATTGACAAAGCACACACAATATTTGAAATACAGCCAGTGCCAATGCAACTGGGACGAGGAGTGGCCTGATATGCTTCTCCTGTGTTCTAGGGTGTTCCTTGAATCAGACGCCAAAGTCATCACTGTCTTAGTTTATCCATTTGTTTATAGTATGTGAAGAAATTTAATGTAATAAATAAAATGTGCCCTTATCGGGAAAATGTTACAGGTGCATTCACGAAATCCAAGATTCGTGAAAAATATGACGATATGAACGTTTTTCATTTAATTTATTTTAGCAAACCCACACAGGTGTTTTTAGTTATTCTGGCTGATTAGAGCAGGTTGAAATTGGGCAGAGCGATGATAAACTAACAAAATATATCTGCAGGCCCCTATCACAGCAGCCGGTTTGAAATGTCAAAGCAGGGTAAACACAAGTGTAATTGATCAAATTGATTACGGTCTAGCTGTGAGTTATAGTCATTCCAGTGAGGCAGCATGCACAATACCAGGGCCCTGGTCCACCTGAAGGGAACAGGGCCACAATTAATGCTTCTAAACTACACCTGTGTTTACCCTGCAATGATATGTCATAATGGCTGCTATGAAAAGGGACAACAGATAGAGTTGTGACCAAAGCAGAGAAGTCAATCAAGTGTCTGTACCCACCCACATAGTTTTGAGATGAGGTATAATCAAGCAAATAAGTGAAAACAACTGTGGGTGGGGTGGAGCCCTTTAACTACAGCACTGCATTCCTCTTTGAACACTGTCCCTTTACGAGATGTGCTTGTTTTGTCTCTATATTGCATGATGCTTACATAAAAGGACTGTAAATATGTGACCTTGTGAAGAGTCATGAGGTTTGGTTTGGTTGCGTTTTAAACATTTTCAGTAATGGAAATCAGCCATCATTCCTTTCATCATTTACACCTGTGCTTTTCCTAATGTCAAATGTCAAATGTTTTCCATGAAATGGCCTCTTGGTCAAAGACATAATAGTGATGTTTAATGGAAAAATGATTGAGAAAAATCTGACAAACTACAACGCTTGCAGTCAGCAAAACACATTTTAACTTTGAGGTAACTTGAGGTATTAAAGCTCTACAAGACCTTCTGGGGACTGTTTTATGAGCAAATGTCTAAGGAGCTTAAAAATGTGAACAAAATGTGGCTCAAATATTTGAAACCAAGTTACATTTTTAGTTATAAACTGTACATTTCTCCCCAACATTAAAAGGTCAGAGATCAACCTGGGATATCAAAGATCATGCTGGCCAACATGAACCGTCCAGCGCCAGTGGAACTGTGCCACAAGAACATGAGATTCCTCATCACACACAACCCCACAGACAGCACACTCACCTCCTTCATAGAGGTAAGAAACTTGTGTCTGTGTGTTGACAGACCCCATCAGTACACCGAAGAGCTTCAGAAAGCTAACATACAAAAGCATGTACCTCATGTACTGCATGTTTCCCTTACTGATGACATGCAAACTGAAACAACTAAGAAAAATTGAATTGAACTGATCTACGTGTTTTGACTTAGTTGTGAAAATGATCTCCTACCGCTGTCGTCACTTTCAGGATCTGAAGCGGTTCGGTGCCACCACAGTTGTTCGTGTCTGTGATATCACCTATGACAAAACACCGTTGGAGAAAGACGGCATCACTGTGGTGGTACGCGCACGCACACACACACACACACACACACACACACACACACACACACACACACACACACACACACATAAACTTAGTATGACAACACAAAGTAACAGAAGTACTGTAACTGTTCTGCTTTTTTTCAGGATTGGCCGTTTGATGATGGAGCCCCGCCCCCAAGTAAGCTGGTGGATGATTGGTTGAGTCTGCTGAAAAAGAAGTTTCAGGAAGAGCCAGGATGCTGCGTTGCAGTTCACTGTGTGGCTGGACTGGGGAGGTGAGAGACAAGAAAACCAAAAAAAAAAGATTTATTCTGATATAGTTTGTATTTGAAGTGAATCCAAGAGAGGGAGACGCACAAACACATGCACACCAGGGATTAACATGTAGAGAAAGTTTCATATTTTTGGTTAAACTAGGTCAGACCGGTTTGATTACAGTCACACTATGGTTATTGTCCAATACTTATGATGATACTGTACACAAGAACAACAGTAGTCTTTGTGGCATTGGCCTCTCTTTTACGTGTTGGACACTTTACACATACACACACTTACAGATTCTAGTTTACAGGAGCTAATCGTTCTATCATACGGCATTACTGAAACTTTTTTAAAGATGCGGATAAACTGTCGTTATTTTTACACAGACGTCAGTCTCAACAGACATGGACGTGACTGTGTGTGTTTATGCATGCATACAGGGCTCCTGTGCTGGTTGCTCTGGCTCTGATAGAGAGTGGGATGAAGTATGAAGATGCTATTCAACTTATCAGACAGTGAGTACATTTATATCCTACATCCTCATCATGCAGAAAAGACAAATATCAAACAAATATGCAATATTAAACAAAAACAATATCTTATTCTGATTTTGATATATTGCACACCTGAAAGCTTTTTGTAGTATGTAAAGTACTTTACATGGATTAGGAAATCATCTTTAAACACCACAAACCACAATTTATGCACTTGAAGTTTTCTTTCTTTGGTGCCATCTGGTGGTGGTATCAAAGAAGACAATGTGGCAGACAGGAATAAGGGTAATCAAGAGGGGTTATGCCATTGACTTCCATCATACATTGGGTTTCTTTATGTGTGTCTCAGGAAACGTCGTGGAGCCATCAACAGTAAACAGCTAACCTACCTGGAGAAATATCGATCCAAGCATAGACTCCGCTTCAAAGACTCTCATGCACACAAGAACAAATGTTGCATAATGTGAACACACACACACACACAGACATCTTGTGGTCCTCGACAAATTCTCTCAGGAATCCAACCATACAAGCCTTGTGTCACCGTCACAAACATTTAATTTTGTATACAGGCTTTATTGGCCCATGTGTACCCTTGACTATTTTGACAGCAGTTTTAGCAGAACCCATCTTTGTTCCCTTGTTTGTGATGATCTCTTGAGATAGATTCGAGATTTGAGAGACAGATTACAGTGAAGAAAGATATGGCAAAGATGGTCGAGGGAGAGAAAATATCACATAAAGAATTCAATTTTGTCGACACAAAATACATAAGGTTGAGGCTTGGGAATCCAGTTGGAATTTTCAATAAAACAAATTCATACAGTGCTCCTCTGGGCACACATCGAGACAGATTTGGTGTAGCTGATTTACTATGATATACCTGATGTATTGGCCTTCAAAACCTTAAGTCATACCGGATATTTTGTGGAAATACCATTGAATTTTCATTATTTTGTACAGATATTCAACACGTTTAAACTTCACCATGATCCCAGTATAAAATGACATGCAGTATTTCTCTGTGTGTTTCTTTGAAATTATTTCATGTCATGAAAAACACTTAAGACACTTTTTAAACAAGAGCCAAAACCATAACACTGAAACATAGGATTAAAATCATTTTGGCAGCTCAGTGTTTTTATTGAGAATTAGTGTCAATACTCTAAGATGCCCCTTTTTTAAAAATGATTCCTGTTGGTGTCTGTTCTCAGAGTAACTGCAGATATAAGGGCTCATTTTTATCTCAGCATTTTCTGCCATTTATCTACGCTCAGAATTCAAATCTGCTTCTGAAATGCTAGATGAAGCAACTTGGTATATACATAAAGCAGTTATTTGGTTTTGTTACAGTTGCAGCATTTCTTCGTTGTGCTCAAGTTATGTGTTTACATATCAGGTTGTGGATTATATTATGCTCTGTTTGCTGACACCGACAGTAGGAAACATCTTTGTCAGCAGCAGCTGATTTGAAGTCAGGTTTAAAGTACATATGTATTATAAAAAAATGAATTGTTAATAATTTACCAGTAATGATACATTACACACATTCTAAAATGACAGAGAGATGTAAACTATTGTAAATATTAAATTAGATATCTATTTTATTCTCCTAGAGGTCAGGGTAAACCACTCTAATACATTGACTACAAAAAGTTGCAAAGAAATTAAAATCATTGCAGGTATGACAAATGTTTTTTTGTTTGCGTGTCAGGGAGTCATTTTCATTTTATTATCCGTTAATGACCCAGTCTCTCAGTTTTATTCCCTTGGATGATACATGGGTAAATTGAGATATTGGTCAAATCCTAGCACAAATAATGCTGGGCATAATTTAGACTAGGTTACACTATATTATACATATTTTCTTGTGGGGTGGAATTTACTTATTAATTTGTATTGATCCTGAATGAGGCATGTAGCCAATGGCTTCAGTTTTTGCTGAAGATGGAGCATACACCTTTTATGGATTAGTCAGTTGCTTGTGATAGTCTCCTCACCATCTGATGTCATGAACAATAATTTGTAAGAAAGAAATGAAAGCAAAGGGTGTACAATTATAGTAAAGAAGGAGAGAGAAAAGATAATGTACCATCTTTACCTGAAAGATTAACAGATTGGCTACAGTTTACTTGTTCATATGTGTGCGTGTGTTTGTTTGACAATGTGTGTGTGTATTTGTTTTGTAGTCTTTAGCCATTGTTAATCATTGGGACTGGCCTGAACACACTTTTTTAATGTAAAAACAAATACTGTAAATGTTTGTATGTCTGTAAATTATTGCACTGTTTAATAAAGGTTTTGTCATTGTCCCTATATTTTAATAGATAATAATTAATTCCTGTCTGGAATGTCCAATATGATCCCTGTTTTGCAGCCTTAAGTTCTATTCTGCTGGAAATGGTCAAACAAAAACAGCAGTTGTCAGGCATCTAATATGACTATACAGAAGGAAGCATATACTGTACATTCCCACCTAAACCAATACAATTTCAGTTCCTTGCTGCTTGTGGAGAAAACATAGTTATAGATTTAGCATTAAAACATGAGAAAAAAACAAATGAACAAACATTTATGTACAGTATACACATTAATAGTATAACTTTCCCTAAACTCTTGTATCTCATTAAATTGTACTTTTACTTGTGTGTTTTTGTTGTGTGCAATCATCAACATTTCACTTGTGTTGATCTAACTATGAGCTTGCAAGTGCTTGCACTGCCTTGTGGTGGATGTCTGTAAGGCCTGAAAGGATAATCCAGCCTACTTGGGTCTTTTCTACACTCTCCAATTTAAAACTATGTCATGTCTGTTCTGTGTCTCTATTTTTATGAAAATAATTTAGCATCACTTTCTCAAATCATTATTATTGTTATTGACCTGATGATCATTTTTATTTTGGCCTGGGATATTTTAATGCATTCTTAGGATTCCAAATTCTATATTTGTAATGGTTTTCTAGACACGTAAATGTTTATTTAGTAAATGAGAATATCTTTGCTGCACTTAGATATCAGATATTCTTCAGCCATATGTTAGTTATTATCCTGTAAAATGACATTTCAATTATTTTATTTACAGTCCCCCATTACCCACACTATGTAACATTGGAACAGGTATTACTCTATAAGACACTCTGTATTACTCCCACAACTTAAACTAAACAAATAAAAGTCTATAACAAGAGTGATGAGGCTTGTTAAGACAATGGTCAACATATTAAAGATGTTAGTGAAAGAAATCCTTGGCCAAAATTAGTTTCTTTGATAAAAACTGAACTAGTAGTAGAAGTTCGCGTCTCAGCCGCAGTACAGTCCTCCTGCCACAGGGGGCGCTGCTCTCCCAGCTACAGTATTACTGAGTCCTGTCCACTTCCGCTGGTTGGAGGGACTCATGTGGCAGATTCGACAGAAATTTGAATGTGCGTAATATAAAATTAAGCTCTAAAATCCGAATTCAGCTATTATGTTTCACCGTATGATGTCTTAAATCCATCGATAAATTAGTTTTCCTTTGTTGTTCGTACGCGGGAGAATGGACGGTCGAAAAGCAGGTACGGCTTTTGGCTAGCTTCAACTCGAATATGTTTGTCGGGTCTTCATGTTAGTTTGGGCCAAATCAAAATAAACGGATGTGTTAAGTATCTAACGTGGGCTGAGTTTCAGAGTGTTTTTTATTCTCGCTGTGGATATTATTTACAGATTGTCTTTTCTGCAATAAAGTAGTCTGCAGAGAGTGGCCTGTCGTGGTCGACAGCTAGCAGATTGTTAATTTCATTATAAATGTCTATTGACATTCATAATGAATGTTTGATAGAGTGTCACGGAGAGATTATCGACCTTATTTAAATAGTAAATGCATTAACACAGCTTTCATTACTAATGCTAGCCCATATTTAAATTGGTTCTTTTCATAATAATGATTTCAAGCTCAAGATAACTGGATGGACCGGATAACTGCTGATGGATTTGTCTGTCTGATGCAACATTATATCAATGCTTTAGCAACTGTCCCATGTTATGAATTAACATCCATATAAATTACATCCACGTGAAAAACAAATGCCAATAAGTTGTTTATCAATAGAACTAGCCTAATTGTTTAAATTGTCTACTGGTATGCCCTTCAATGTTACACAGGTGGGAACAAGACTACAGGAGCTGTGGTTAATATTAGACCGTCTCTTACTTTAATGAGCCCAAACAGTCTGCTCTGTTAGATGTGGATTGTGAAACGATAGAAGCAAAGCAACCGGTTGAAAGTGAACATGAACAATTAAAAACAGTTTTATTTAAATGTTTTCCAGCAAACATACATGCCATCCTCCACTACCTATCATTATACTGCATACAAGCAACAGAATATTCCTTCTCTTCCATTTCCCTCTTTTCTCCCTACTGTTGCATGTACAATATAGAAATACAGTTGAACAGAAGAAAAGGGGGGTGTCAACAAGTTCAACACTGACATCTACACAAACTAACACTATTATAAACAACATATTGCAACATGTTGTAAGTAATGTAACATTTGAAATGAAGATTTAAATGTACTGCAATGACATTTATTGAAGCAGTTTTCATTGATCTGTCTGTTTGGCACCTCAGATTAAGTAAACTCTGTCATGCCAAAGACAGTGTGTCTGGAGTATCAAGATGAAGAAATGAGGTGCAATGACTCAAAATCGTCAATCTGTCTCTCACAATTATTCTGTATGTTTCCCTCTGCCACCTTTCTTCTCCGTGTCCCCTCAGCCGGTTCTGTGTTTATGTGTCGGCTCTGCAACCTCTTCTCTCCCAGTCGCGCCCAGCTGCTGGCCCATTGCTCCTCGCTGCACGTCAAGCAGGAGCCGCCTGAAGACATCATCATTGCTCTGCAGCCTCTTGCAGGAGAGCTTGTGGAGACGTTGGCAGGTAAGATTAGCGTGTTCGATGCCAGAATCACAAAATCATGTGGAAAATAAACAACCTACACATGTTATGTCATAGTAAATATCACTACGTTCACTAATTTGGGGATGAATTGAACTTTGTTGTACAATGTATTTGAATTCAGTACTCTACTGATATTCCTGGACTGGTAATTACATCAGAGTCAATTATATACGGTATATATATATATATATATATATATATATATATATATATATATATAGAGCAAATGCAAATGTGAACAATTAATAAAAAATGAAGGAAAAATAAACACGATACTAATATGTCACTGCAACACTATAACTTTTCATTGTATCTGGGAGATAAAATCAGAGATATTCGACATAAGACATAAGCTGTATGAGGCTTATGCTACACACAAAATACGTGTTTGTAGGATAAGCTTGTTGTTTGTTTCTTAGTGGGACTTTTTTTAATTAATAGATCCCAGTGTTATCTTTTTATTTCTTTTGCTGTCTTGTTGGCCCACAGAGAGCCCAGTGAAGCGAAAACGAGGACGACCGAAAGGCTCGACAAAGAAGACGCGCACAGATTTGACAGAAGGCAAGGCCGACTCTACCCAGTCTAATGTTCAAAGAGAAGAAGAAAGGAACAAGGAGGAGGGAGACGAACAATGCAGCTCAGCACAAGGTGGCAATCCCATAATTCTTTCTCTTTTATGCGGACGACAGGATAAGCACCCTCTGCACAAGAGAAGATGCTTGCTTAGTTTATTTTATAAAGTTTATATATTCAAGTTGATAAACTTGACAAAGATGATATGGATGAGATCGTGAATATCACCTTGCTGGTTGAGTTATAACGGACAAACAGTTCAACCGAGATATCTGTTTTATCTGCCCACGAATGGTACTGCAAGTGTTTTGGGCAACTGGCTTTTGCCTGGTTGGTAATCTAACTTTTCTTAATAGTAACGTAATTGTTGTGTTTGCATTTAGGCAATGAGTTCTATGTCTTTTAAATTACATTTGTTTTTGTTTGTGACTTTTGTAAGTCTGCAACACAAACTGTGTTTCCCGCTCTGGCTACTCTGACTCTTTTTTTTCTTTCTCTGATAGGCGAAAGCCATGACGGGATATTGGGGCTTGAATGTAGAGTGTGCCACCGCTCGTTCAGCAACAGACGACAGATTCGCAAACACATCTGCCTGAGAGAGGAGGAGGAGGAGGAGGAGGACGAAGAGGAGAATGGTGAAGAGTGAAACAAATCAGCAATAGCAAAGTTAATATGTGCCAAAGAGGCAGTCAAAGTTGGGGAGACCTGAGGGATCCTGCTTGGAATTGTCCTTCCTATATTATAGATCATTAAGTACCTCCGCGTTAACTATAAATTAAGTACAGAAGAATATAATTTGCATACATTTATTGTACTTTCTAATGCAGGTGATTCTGGTTAACAGACAGATTATTTATTTACAGGAAGCATCTGTGGTGGAGCAGGAACCGAGGGTTCTGGGAGTCTGCATCCTGGGGGAGCAGATCCAAACCAAAAGCCAGCAAAACCAGGACTCGTGAGAGAAAAAGGTTAAATTAAGTTCGGGACATGGTTTCTTCAAATTAATTCTTACCCGGAGGGACACTTAACTGCTGCATTAAAATCCCTGCTAAGTGTTATCTGTGATGACTTGTAAAAGATGAATGATCCCAGCGGTCTGACGCTTTCTTCTTCTCTGCTCGTAGACGTGGGCAGCTTCAGACACCCGAGAACCAATCGAAGCCGCACCTCCAAAGAAGCAGGGCTGGCAACGGGAAACAAAAAGTCGGTCATCAGTGTTGTTCTGACAGAAGATGAAACATTTCCAGGTTTGTCTGAAAGAGCTGTTTTTTTGTGCTAGCTTTTATGCTTTGGCTCTCAAGTGACTCGACTGCAGAAGGAGACATATTTATGAGCGAGATGTGTTACCTTCAACTCAACAGGTGTTTGTAAAATGGTTCCAGTAGAGGACAATTCAGCAGAGACAGAGTCTTCGGCCATCCAACCTCAGGTAATACCCAGAAACATTCACCCAAATAATGAAATGTCTTTCTCACTTACCTCTTGTAGTCGCCTGGCAGACAGTTTGGATTTTATTTGCCCAGGTTCTGAGATTCATGCCTCCGTCCCACATCTTTGCATCTTTTTTTTTTTTTAAACTAAGGATAGTGCACAGACCTTTTTGTGAGAGATAATCTATAAAAGCTGTCGACAGCTTCTTGTGTAGTGCTACTACTTACCACTGTGTAAATAATTACAGTAGGATGTAGGCTCCAAAGCAAAGTAAAAACATTTTATTTCTAAAATGTACATTGTTTTAGCATTTCAGCTGACTTTCAAATGGGATGATTCTGTGATACAATGTTGCAGTGTGTGTATTTTAGATTATTGTCTAATATGATCTATGAATCCCAATATTACATGGGTTTATTTTCTTGAATTTGTCCGGGCGGTCAGCGGTCTGCAGTTTTCCAGAGTCAGTCACAAGACCTTGCAAGTGAAGCCACTGCCTGCGAGGGGAACCCTGAAACGGACCAGGAGCCAAGGTAACATGATGGAAAAAGTCCATCTCTCTTAATGCTTTCAATGTAACACATAGTTGATGGTCATGATAACGGATTGTCAGTAACGACGAGAGTTGATTCGTCAACTGCATGCGTGCGTAATGATGTAAAGGCCCTGCTAGTTTGTACTTGTAGTAGTCTGACATATCAATGTTATCTCCTGTCAGCAGTGGGATCCCTTTGTCCAAAACAACAGCAGCAGCCAGCAGAGGCTTCCAGGAATATTCTATCAAGCAAGATGCTACAAAGTACTGTAGGAATATTTTGTATTAAATGTCTTAACATCGATTTCATTTGATAGTAGTTGTAGCTTTGCAGGTTACGTGTAGCTGAATGCTCCTGTGTAAACTACAAGCTCCACACTATTGTTAATAGATTTGGTTCTCATCTAACAACCGATCATAAAAGAGTTTGTTTTTCCTGTTTCTTGAGAAGTTTAAAATGATTTAGTCTGCTTACTTATTTGTAATGTTTTATCTGTGCAGCCTTAAGAAGTTTGTTTATTTTATTTGCAACATCAACAATCTCCAATGCCACAATAGCAACTACAATGATATTGGTCATCTGATAAATGTTTCATATTGTTCCTCTCTGTCTCCTAGTCTACTTCAGAGCCAGTTGAAGATCTTTGCCTGTGAGTTCTGTAACAAGATCTTTAAATTCAGACACTCACTGATGGCTCACCTCAGGACACACACCCAGGAGAAACCTTTTCAGTGTCCACACTGTGACTACGCATCAGCCATCAAAGGTAAATCATCACAAATGTCAGCTTGATTAATAAAAGTGAGACGAAATCAAGATGGTTGAGTTACAATTTGTAGGATTTTATTTTTTGAATTTGCCTTTATGAGATAAAGTGTTAATCAAGGGTGCTGACAGGAAATATGGGGCAAAGGTGTGTGTGACAGTTCCCAGGTTATAAATATGTGTCCATATCTGTAGGATTTCATGTGATGACAGCATCTTTCAAATTATTCTGATGGAACAAGTTTTTGTTGATTATATGTTGATTTTGTGGTCTGCAAGTACTCTAACAGACACATCCTGATTGGCAGACTACGTTATGCAAATTTTCAGTTGGCGAATGCGTGCTCATAATTGAAGGAGAGTATTACCCATAGAATCCAGTAGAGAGTGGTGTCATAGTGACAAACAAGAAACACTAAATTATTGGACGGATAAGTATTTGTAAAACATATCGCAGAGCAGAGTAACTTCTGCAATCTCTAAATAACAAATGTATAAACTTGCAGTTACAAACTAATTTAAATTCCTGTAAAGGTTGCTTACTTTCTGCATTTCCCTTCAAAGCCAACCTGAATGTTCACCTGAGGAAGCACACAGGAGAGAAGTTCAGCTGTCAGCACTGTCCTTTCAACTGCCTCAGCCCAGGACACCTCAAGGTGCTTTTATTACTCTTTTTTTGTATTAACATGCAACATTTGAGATACAGTGTGAACTCTGTTGTGATTCTGGTTTCTACATCCAGATAGATTGGGTCAATTTCCAGGTTGCAGCTGCACTGTTTTCCTGGTTGCAGCAGTAATTCTGTGTTTCTGGTCATGCAGGTCCACAATGAGCGAGTCCATCTGAAGGTGAAGCAGCACTGCAGCTTCTGTGTTAAGAAATACTCCGATGTAAAGAACTTGCTGAAACACATTGAGAAGCGACATAACATGAAAGACCCCGCTATCTTCCAGAGCTTCCAGCAACTAAGGTTTGATCGACATTGTTTTACCTTCCTATCTGCTATCAGACACACCTGCCCTTCTAATCTCTTGATCTTGTTTCAGGTTGAAGACTCGTCAGGGCCTCAGACAGCTCCTCTACCACTGTCCCACCTGTAACCGGCGCTTTAAGAACCAGCTGGAGCGGGAGCGCCACCTGCTGGTCCACGGGCCCCAGCGTCCCTTCGCCTGCCTCATCTGTGATCATGCTGCGACAAAGATGGCCAGCCTGGCCGCCCATGTCAAGAAGCACCTCTTCCTATACATGTGCTGTGTGTGTGACGGGAAGTTTGTCAGCTCCCAGAGACTGAGGAGTCATTTGAAAGAGTCTCACCAGGAGCTTGACCAGGAGCAGGCCTTCACAGACTGCATCAACAGCAGCTACTATCTGCTACAGCCTGGAGGAGGCATGTGGGGCGATGAGGAGAGGGAAGATGTAGAGAAAGGGATGAAGGGAGGTCCAAGGATGGAGCAGGAGGGTGAAGATGAGAGGATGAGTGAGGAGGGTAGAAGAAATGGTGTTGGAGGGGAGGAGTGCCGAGATGGGGAAGTGGAGCGGCTGAAAGTAGCAGCGAGCGAAGATGGGGAGCAAGAGGAAGAACAAGCTAAATCTCAGGGTGAGAGAGCAGAAGATGTGCCGGGGAAAGAAGGAGAGTTAGAAAACGGAAGCGAACAGCAATGTTCCCAAGATCAGCTCCATCAAGCTATTTCTACAGAAACCACAACTCCCTCTGACAGACGGGATGAAGCAACAGCTGGGGAAAAGTCCCAGGACAACACGGCAGACACATGCACCCCTGCAGCTGGAGATGACACGCAGACTTTCTTATCACCAGAGAGCAGTCACACCCCTCTGTTGGAGAATCGGACTCCAGAAAACACACACCCAGCTGATGAGAAAACACAGACACGTTTGTCGTCAGCAACTTCAGGGGACGATTCTCAAACTCCACCTCCAGAAAGTGTAAGTTAATTACAGGTGCTCAGGAAGGGCAATAATGTCAGCTAGGACTGCATAGCGGTTATTTTCATAATTAAAGTATTTGCCAATTATTTTCTCAATTAATCATTTTGCCGTAGTTTGTCTTATTTTGTCCAACCAACACTCCAAAACCAAAAGATATTTAATCTGATATAATGTTTGGACAAAGAATTTCACATTTCAGAGGTTAGTTGCGGGTTAATTTGCTGTTGATCAATTAATACGTAATCAATATTTGCAGTGAAAATCTAATAATTAGTGATCTTTTACATTGCAATACTTTTATTTTGGCATTAGCGGACAGATACGTCTGAATTATGTTCTCCATATCTGATTATCCATCCAAAAGAACGTCCTTCTGCATGTGTAGAAATGCCGATGACGGGCATTGATTGCGCTCAATAAAGAGTATGATGTAGTCTATATTACTTATTAATTCATTAATATTTCTGGAATACATAACTTCTCTTAGAGGAATTCAACTTTAAATCATCTTCTCATCTTCTCCTCAGGTAGCAGCTTTGCTCCTGGCGTGTCTGACATGTTCTTGGTTTTCTGACGGCAGGTGTCGGAGGTTTTCCATCAGAGTGCGTTCCAGCAGGTGATCTCATCACTTCAGAAGACTCGGCTCAGTATGGAGTCTTTCCAACGGCTCAGGAAAATTTACGGAGACCTGGAATGTCAATACTGTGGTGAGGAAGATGATGAAACCCCCTCGAGGAGGCTGGTTTTGTTGTGTCCTGTTATTTAATTTAATGTTCTTTTATATTATATTATTGTTATTTATTACTTAGTTTTTTGTCTATCTGGCTTGAGTGTTAAATATTGTCCTTTGTTTGGCTGCACAGGTAAACTGTTCTGGTACAAGGTCCACTATAACGTCCATGTACGCACGCACACCAAGGAGCACTCGCATTACTGTTCAAAGTGTAGCTACTCGTCCATCACCAAGAGCTCTTTGAAGCGACACCAGATCCAGAAGCACAGCGGTTTGCTGCTGCCTTGCTCCAACCCTGGCTGTAAATACACCACACCTGACAAATACAAACTTCAGGCCCATTTGAGGACACACCAGGAACAGGTAACCAGCCTTCACCCGGAGAAATACCTATAAATCTACTTCAACGTTTGTGTACCTTCAATTAAACTTTACACGTGCTTGATCAATATTCTAGTTGATCTGCAGTACAATGTAATGTATGTGCAGAATGGAACACTCAAGGTAGCTTTTTTAATTGGTTAAATTAAGGTATGCCAACATTGACTATTGATTTCTATTGGTGAGACTTGTCTTAATGCCTTCATCTTGTTGCTGTATACAGGGGAAGAGTGTGACTTGTCCTATCTGCCAGCAGAGCTATCCAGAGCACAGACTAAAACACCACATCAAAACATCCCACCCCGGTAAAGAATACATAGATATATATCTAGAAACATGGACATAAAACACACACACACTACCTGCTAATGTTTGTTTCAAACCTGTCCTTAAAATCAATGTGAGCATTAGCATTTGTTCATTCTTCACTGAGCTGGCTGTGTGACACCTGACTGAAGTAAATAGCTCGTCACATAGCCAGGGTTAATACAATTTCCACGGTTGGGGTTTCACTTTGTGCGTTTGTGTTTGCATGCATGTGTTGCACAGACACACTACCTTCGCAGGGCAAAGGACTGATGGTTCAACGTGCAGAGAAGTGCCCCTACTGTGACTCCTACTTCCTGAAGAACAGCAGTGACTTTCAGCGGCACATCTGGGCCCACCAAGGTGTGATATTCCTCTTCTTTTAACACAGGCAAACACATACACACGCAGCACATGTGTGGAGAAACGCATATGGGTCCGTGCATGACCGCGCACAGTATTTCACTGCTTGATTACCGAGTTACCGGAGGTTCCATCTGTCTATCTTTCTCCTGGCTGCACTTAAAACACACTGCATATGTTGGTCAAGTCACATGTGAAGTGATGATACAATTGTCTCCTTGTATGCTGCTGGCATTACACAAACGTTATAAGACTTGCTGTTTTTGCAATGATCACTTGGTCAAAATATGTTTTTTTTGCTTTGCTAAAATCACTGCTTATACATATGCAGTTGCTCAGATGAAGTGGTGAAATACATAAACCATGTCTACATTATCTGTGATGTTTGTGGTTTTGTTTTGAGGAAGTGACTTGTTAGTCTGCTCCTCTTCCTGTCAGTCCCTTCTTAAACACTTCCTGAGCCTGATGAGCTGTTTACTTTGAAGTCTGTCCAGAAGCTGAGGAAGCTGGCAGACATCCAGCACAGGTCTAAGTGAGCACAGCCAATTTACAAAAAAGCAAACCTGCAGTGCATAGTATGCTCATTATGATGTTATTTTATTAAACTACAGATAATGTAATTACTATTAAATAAAACTATATTATCAAAAGTTCCATCTTATCTTGGCCAATCACCTTCATTCAACATTTGTATGTCCAACACCACCATCTCGTTTCTTCACACTCTTATACCCTTTGACTCTAAAAGTCTTTTTTTCCATCTTTTTGTTGCTATCTCGTGTGGTTTAACCTTTGTACACACTTGTGTCCGTGTTTTCTAGGTTTGAAGCCATACGTCTGCAGTGTGTGCGACTATGCGGGCCGCAGTCGGAGTAACCTGAAGACTCACATGAACCGACACAACACAGAGAGACGTCACCTCTGTGATCTGTGCGGTAAAAAGTTCAAATCTAAAGTCACGCTCAAAAGCCACAGGCTAAGCCACTCAGATGAAGGTACGTGTTATGTGTCTATTTATTATTATCTGTGGTATTATTGATTATTGTGCTTGAGTAGAAGAATTTGAGGAAGTACAAAGCGATGATAAATATAAAGACAATTAGTATTTGGTTTGTTCAGGGAAGCGGTTTCAATGTTCAGAGTGTGACTTCACCTCAGTCTCCAAACCTTCCTTGCTCAGACACATGGAGCAACACGCTGAGTTTAAGGTCAGAATAAACACACACACACAAGTTTCACTCATGATGTCACGTCAATGTTTTGACACAAATGATTGGCAAGTTGCTTAGAAAAATCCATTCATATATCAAATGTAGTCTTGTCGTACAGCTTTATCATTGGCATTAACTTTTTGTCTGTCGATGTAGCCTTTTCGCTGTGCCCACTGCCACTACTCCTGTAACATCGCTGGTCCCCTGAAGCGACACTACAACATGAAACACCCAGATCAGAAATATCAGAATGCCGGACCTGGAGTGCCTAACCCTGATGCTCTGAAACAGCAAGGTCTGCTCTCTGCCATGTCTAGACTTTTCATTTTCTTTAAAGTCACGCTTTACCACACTTGGACATTTGTACTGCATACAGATGTTTGAAGTGTGGTTGGCATTATGATGAAGACTCTCAGGAGTGAGAATCTATGTGATGCTAGGAGGGAAATCATTTAAGATTACTTTAAGCCTGTACAGAGAACAAACGGGTGTTCAGCTGCATGACGTAACATAGCTTGTGTGTGTCCCTGTGTTTAGGTGGTATGAAGTGTCCTGAATGTGAATTTGTTTATGGCACCAAGTGGGAGCTGAACCGCCACCTGAAGAGCAAGCACAGCCTGAAAGTGGTGGAAGGCACCTGGGAGGTAAACCTCTCACACATCAATCATTTTTAGCCATGCTAGAGACGTGGCTCTTAGGATGGCAATGTTGGTCTGTGGGTCGGTTCACCACTTGGGTCCAGACTGTGATATCTGGAGAACTATTGGATGGATTGCTATAACATTTTGTGCAGACATTCAGGGTCTCCAGAGGATAAACTCTAATAACTTTGGCGATCGTCTGACTTTTTCCCTTAGCACCATCATAGGGTCAACTTATTCACTTATTCCATGAAAGGGTTATTCTAGTAGTATTCTGATTTCAACATCTAGTTGATGGGTTGTCACAAAATTTGGTACAGAGTACATTCATGGTCCTTACAGGGCAAATTGCCACTTTGGTGACACCCTAACGTTGCCTCTAGCACCATCGTCGGGTCAAAAATGTATTTTGTCTACTTTGGTTAATGACCAAACCTTTTGCATAACTAATGACGCTCCCATCAGCCTCAGCTGTATGTTATGTTCAGTGCTAATTAGCTAATGTGAGCATGTTAAACTTTGATGGTAAACCTGCTGTAAATCAACATGATAGCATTATTTTTGTGAGCATGTTTGCATGCTAGCATTAAGCTCAAAGCAACACCGTGCCTAAAGTACAGCCACACAGAGCTGCAGGGATGGAGACTCTTTGTCTTGTTTCTGTCGCAATCTTTTATCATTCAAAATCCTATTCCTGATTAAGAAACTTAAAAACTGTTAAAATATCAGAAATTGGAATCCTACTGGAAAAACTTGCTAGCTCGACAGTGTTAGCATATAGTTTAAGTATTAATCGTTTTTGTTCAACAGAGCATCAGTATTTTCAGGATAATACATAATCTGTATGAATATCCAGGTGGGGGAGACAGTAGAGGCCCAGTTCATACCTGTGGAGGATGAAGAGCAGCTGACAGAAGTATCTGTAGCGTCCCTGCAGGACAACGGTAACAACAACAACACCACCAGGGATGAACATACAGTCGATACAGAGAAACCAACAGACCACACCTTTTTAATTTGTTTTTCCTGCTTGCATGTACTATGTAACACATTACAATAAATGTCTCTTTTATGTTCAGTTGATATCCAGCAGATCACCGAGTTCAATTCAGAGACTCACAACGCCGTCACCTCCATGGTCGCCATGGCTCCAGGCACTGTCACCGTTGTACAACAGGTAAACAGCACCACATCGGGTGATTGTCACTGAGTGAGTGACCACTCGGGTGATTGTGAGTGGTGACAACAAAGTGTTGACGTTAAGCTGTGGCTGCAGTTGCAGGTGGCTGACGAGCAGGAGGGCGGCGAGTGCACAAACCAGCTGATGGTGGTGAATGCAGACGGGGATATAACTGGTGACCAGGTGATGGTTGTGGAGGACGCACACGGCCTGGAGGCCCTGACAGTCCTCACCCAGGGAGACAACACTCACCACTATATCGTCTACGTCCAGGAACACACTGTAGAAATCAACTAGTAATGCCAGCATGTCAACATCTGCTGGTTCATCAGTGTCAGCAGATCTGTTTACAAAAGGGAAGTAACATCAAATGTACAATTGGGCAATGCATTCAGGATTTAGTGAATGTTTCCATGTCATCATTAGGAACTTCCTTAATCAGATTTATTTTTCAGTGACTTCATAATTATGAAAACCATAAGTGCAATAACTGTTTGTGTGATTATGTGACATATTTTGTACTGACAAAGTATATTTGAATAAACCCTTGTCCTGAACTGCTCGATGCACTGGCTTCTTTTTCTAAAAACAACAAATCTCCAAGTTGTTCAGATCAGTTTTTACTCAAAATGTTTTTTGTCATTAGAATTCCTTAAAGGTTTGTTACAGTTTTCATATTATGACACACATTTGACATTTGTGACAATATAATATGAGACAAAGCAACACAGACAATTTGTAATTTACTTTAAAGTATCACAAAATATTATTTTTCTAGTGATTTAAGAATAGTAAAACAGAAACATTTTAAATAATATTAAAGAGGATGTGTTTCTCTTCTGTACTTGATTGGTGTATTAGAAAACTGAAATATACTATAAGACTTTACCATGAAGACAATATGAACATGCAGTCTACAGACACTGCAAAGAGTCTGGAAAAGAGGTCATAAAATTCAATAAGAAGTCCTGTCACTAACTTTTTTAAGTTGATAAACAAGCAAACAAGGAATATACTGTATATATCCCTTTTATTTGTGATATTGTTTTGAATACAGTATATTCACATGTTCCTGATAAATGAAACCATAGACTGCAAAATGTAGTGTGTGCCTGTGTTTTTTTTTACATTAATTTAGATATGAAGAATGTCTGAATATTATCAAAGCTTGAAAAGTTTAAACCATAAAATAGCCTTACTACACTTTGAATGTGTCAGAATTTGGTCCATACTTAAATTCTTAGGACAACTATTCAGAGAGAAAGATTATTTCGACAACTATGTGATTGAGAATTTGTAGATTTTGACATAAAATAAATGTTTTTTTAAATTCGTTTTTAAAACCATGAATGACATGTTGAGATGGGTTTGCCAATAAAGCGAATATGAATGCACTGTGTGTCGTAGTATGGGATGAATAGAGAGACAGATTCTGACTTAACATTTCTAGTCGTAGTTCAGCCTCAGTCCAGCAGGTGGCGGTAGTGCGCTGTGTGGTCTTTTGACAACCGCTGGTACATCACAAAGACTACAGAAGAAGAACAACAAGAAGCGGTGGGAAATTTGACAGTGCGCGAAAGATTGTTGTTCACAGTTTCACTCCGAGCAAACATTAATCGTGAAAATACAAATACGTACATGACATGGACCGGTACGTGTTGGTTATATCCTTCAGCCAAACGGATGACGACCTAGCGGAGGAGTACTCATGTAAGTTTAGCTAACGTCCACGCTGCTAAACCAGGTTTAGTTAGCCTGTGGCTTAAAAAGTGTAAACCTGGCTACTGACTTGTCAATGTCCACAGGTCTGGAGCCAGTAAAGCAGATGCATGACAGACTTGTGGACATCTCCACTCAGGAATCATCGAGAGGGATCTCCGTGTTTCCAGGTGCAGTATGGGCATCGTTCAGCCTGTCTGACCTCGGTTGTTAGTCCACTACTTTCCTCACCTCTTGTCTTTTCTCTGTGTGTGTTTCCCCAGCTTGTTCTCTCAGTGGCAGCCCTTCGATTCAGAGGTGGTACTTCGCTGTTCAGGCTTGCCAAGGACTCACGCAGGTTGGAAGATTCAAGCTGGTTTATGTTGCGAGGAACTTTGCACAAGTGCCTGTGCCTCCATCGATCAGAAAATGCTGTTCAAATAGTAGAATAAATACTTTTTCAGGTTTAAATCCATGAGACAATCATATGGAGAGCTCCTGTCATGAAGAGTTGAGTGTAATATATATATGAACCCTCTCACTGCTCGACTTTCATGACTCTGAGTCTTATCCTCATAAGTTATATTATATAAATTTGGAAATGATTGCTTATCATTAGTAGTCATCATAGTCAAAACTACAAAGAACAGAACTTTATGGCAAGTTTGCAACATATTGATGATTTCCAGTTGTTGGTATAGCTGTTCAGTTTGTCATTAAAATGTTTAATCCACTTGTATGTTGACAAGTGAATTCATGTGAATGATGCTGTTAGAAGTATTCCTTTATTTTCTCCTAGCTATTACACTACAACGAAAAAAGGGGCCATGACATTTTAAGGAGTAAATGTATTTGGAGTTGTACTATTATTGACACCATGCTTAAGGAAAAGAGGCTGTCATTCTGTCATCATACTTGAATCTCTATCACCTGTTTGGTAGTTTTGCAGCTCGGACTGGGAGGAGCCGGGCTCAGGCCATCAGAAAACTGAGAGTGGAGAGGAGAAGCCCACTGCTGTGGAGTCGTGTCTCAGTTCTCTGAGTACTCAGGAGGCACCGGACCAAAAGGCTGATCAGCCGTCACTGACGGAGTGAGTGTCGGATGATATTTACTTTTTCTTTATGTGGATGTGTATTGTTGTTTTTGTTCTGCTTGCTGCCGCTCTGTGTTGCAGGTCTGTGCGTAAATCATCTGTGTGAGCTCATAACAACTTATCTGAAATAGTAAACTATATCATGATGATGCTGAATATTCCCCTCCTCATGAGTAAATGGAAATCTTATTATCCAGTATAAGTCAATATTATTCATGTGTCTTAAGAAGTCAAAGTGTTACATGTCTTTGTGATGTGAATGTCTTTATTGATCAGGCTGTTGGAGGAGGCTGCAGAAGGACTTCATCTACTGTCAGACAAGCTGCCACCTCCAGGTACTGTCGACCAATCTGCAGCGCTCACTTTCCTTTCATGCAGGACTTTCCTCAGCAGTTGTGAGTCATGTTATCATTTTGTGAAGATGTTAAATGTATTCATATTAACTCTTTTAATCCATGGTGTTGAATCCAAAATGATTCCACACACTACTTACTTCTCAGATGATTTTGGGTGTTGTCATTATCTGTACAGCACAGCTCGCCAGTTTCCTCCATTTATCTCTAATTAGGAGAACAACAAACGTCTCGTTTACTTATAGGGCAACAGAGCAAGATGTTAGTCTGCTGCACAGGAACAATGTCTCAGGTGAGAGTTCCAATAACAAGGAATTAAAACCTCTTTACTGAAGCCAAACTCCTCAGCTGTATGACAAGGATCCAGTCCAATTTAAAGCAATTAGGTTTTGAATATCTGCGTGCTACTCTACTCTGACTACTTCTCTGCGACTCTGCCTCCTGAAGTGATATTTGCTTTCACTTCATCTTCACTGTCTTAAGGAGCATTTCTCAGTCACCGACCATCTGGAGCTGGAGTCACCACGGGCTTCCAAAGATAGTGTCAGCGGAACAACCGGTCTCTGATTGACCCCTCGTGAAATCCTATCGAGACAAAGAAGAAAGAAGACTGAAATGTTGAATCAATTCCTCTTTGGTTTGTCTCTTCTCCCCCCCCCCCCCCCCCCCCCACCACCAGGTAAAGCCTTGCTGGATGTGCTGGTGTTGGGCTCTGCCGTGCAGTCCCCTCCTATTAAAGACCTGCTGCCTCTGCTGGGATCCCTCAAACACATGTCCCTCTGGCACGCTGCTGAGATCACTGTCGTCACACAGCACACCACTGGGTGAGGAGACGACAAACACGCATGCGTTACACTTCTGGAGTTGCACAAAGCAAATGATGACGACACTTTTGAACTTATCTAAAATGCAAACACAAAAGAACCTTCATGACGTCATTGTGTAAACAGGATACCTGTACATTCACTGGGCTGTGTACACACACACACACACACACACACACACATATTCACGAGACTCAGACTCGCACTTCTTTTTTTACTGAGAAGTCCGGCATTTGACACAACTCTGGGCTGGGTCACACTGCTCCGTTAATCATCATTTCTTAATTGCCTGTTAATTATTTGATCTCAAATGTAGATAACAGAACTACATGTGTCACAGATTTGCTGTGTGCACGCTTGATTGATTTGTTGATTTAATCTAAAGCTAACTTTTGGCGAATTTAGGCAAAATGCAAATAGACAAAGTAGTAAATTAAACAAATAAATGTATATTTTGGATGTTTTCTTTCCTCTGGTCTGAAATAAGACATTATGGAATGAAATTGCCCAAAATTTCATAAGTTATCAGTCCAAAAATGTTTTTTCCTGTGGTGTCTCCCCTTAATAACACAAAGCAATGTAGTTGGTTCCATTGAGCTCCTACAACACAAGACAATGACAGATGAACTACCTCCTCCCTGTGTGTGTCTTTAGTCAGTGAAATGTCCAGCCATAAAAACACTATATTTAAGTGATTATTTGTAAATAGTATAATAATTAAGGCTCCAATGAGGATTGAACTCATGACCCCTGGTTTACAAGACCAGTGCTCTGCCACTGAGCTATAGAGCCATATAGAAGCTGCAGGACCAAATCTCAGATATGAAGAACCACCCAGGGTGTGGGACACATTAGATCAACAGGTTAAAGGTGTGTCCTGAGCTTTGTTATGCAGCACCAGCTGCTTGAATGCATAAACTGTTCACATGATGCAGCAATATACTATTCTAACTGATCTAAATGAAGATGTGCAAACATTTTCCTTAACTGTCCTTAAGGCAACTCTATGGCCAGACGAGGGCGTTCTCTTCAGGCTCAGCAGCTGCTGGTCTTTACACACAAAACTAATAGTTTGTTGTTTGTGTGCCAAACGGGAAAATTGCTAAAGGAGAAATGGCAAAGATTACCCCAAAATGCTAGGAAATGCAGCGATATCGTATGAATTAGCAGATGTAATTATTTTGGAAGTGCTCCCAGTTTACCACTAGGGGGAGTCAGAAGAGTACATATGAGCAAAGTCAATTTACAGTAATGCTTGAATAATCTGAGGAACATTTCTTCTGAAGCACTCATTTCAGTTGATGCTGAGATAGCTTCATTAAATCCATAGCAATAAACTGCTGTTGTGCTTGCTTGTATAGGAGATTATAAATTACAGGAATCGGTACAAGTTCCTAAGGTTCCCCTGTGCTCATCATTGAGTGGTCCTTTTTTTTTTTTTGTCCAGTTGGCAGAAAGCAGCGTCTTACCTGAGTGCCAGTCTGGTGGAGCCTGGTGACCTACACACCTGTATGGATCCTAGAGAACTGTGGAGGGGCGGCCTGGTTATCAGAGAGAAGAAGGTGAGGACCTCAGACGTGAGTGGAGGAAACCTGCAGGATGCAGTTCTTTGTGCCAAGTTTATTCCACCGTTGTCCTCTTTACCTGATGGAGAAAGATGGAGCAGGTGGAGAAAACATGAATTCAGTTCAAACCTGTACATTGTGCAGCACTTACTTACTTAATATGTAAGTATTTGTTCATACTTGTATGTACTGTGTACAGTTTTGAAGTACTGTAGGTGTAGCTGATCATTTAAAAGCAGCAATGAAAGCAAAAGGTGTGTGTGTGCGTGCGTACGTGTATGTGTGTATGTGTGTGAGGTACTAGATGTTGATTAATGAGACAAAGTGGTCATGTGCTGTAGAGGGCATGAAGAGAAAGCGGGGCTCTTTTGTCCTCACCTGCCTGCTTGCTTGGGGCTTCTTGTTATGAGCCATGTTGTCTCTGCACACAGCTTGCTGGGCCCAGCGAGAGAAGGCGGAAGAAACGGCGTTTTCTTAAGCACCACCTGTGCCAGGGCTACTCGTGGAGACCTGAATCAGGCCTCTGTCTGCGTTCTTTTATCTTTTTCATATGGAATTACTCATGCGCTGCACACAAAGGCACTGGGTCCATTTTCACATATTTTGAATTATGTGATTTTCTGACTCTGTGGGAGGCATTACTGGAGGTCACTGAGGGGGTCATGGGAAATAGCTCAGCCTGGCTGGCATTGCTCTGGCAGACCCGGCCCAGCCCCACATTGACTAGACCTTTCACAGACAGGAGTCTGCTGTAATTGATTATTTAGGATTTAAGCAAGGATAAGTGTTAGAAAACGCCTCTGGGCAGCTTCTGCCTGTATTTAAAGGACCCTGTTACTGACATGCAGGTACATCGTTGGTCTTTACTTTCTTCGGAATTTAAAGTGTAAAAGTACAATTAGATGAAAAATAATGGCTTTAACAGTACTCAACTTCATTCTCTTCAGGAAAACAATGTAATCTAGTCCTTACTGGTTTATTTACTATTCCATATGGCCAAAGTCATGCAAACACCAGCGTTGTATTTTAGACCAAGGGTTCTCTACCTTTTTGGATGTGGACCGGAGTGAGTCACCCTCATTCAAAAGATTCATCTCATTCCAGATTCTATCATTGAATCTGATCATTGAATCTGATCATTGAATCTGATCATTGAATCTGATCATTGATTCGATCATTGAATCTGATCATTGAATCGATCATTGAATCGATCATTGCAGTCCATTGTCGGTGTATGCTCACTGCAGTCATCTGCAGAGATTTAAAGCTGATGAATGTGAAAACAAACGCTGCTCATACGTCATTCTGCACAGTGATGCTCAAACATGTCAGTGGGTTAACAATAAGAAAAACATGTCTGACTGGAGAGAGACTTGATCAAACAAGTGTAGTGGGTAAAGTAAGGTCAAAGTAAGTTGGTTCATTTAATTCTACCTCCACATTAAACTGTTTCAGAGAGAGAGAGTGAGAAATGTGGACATACTGTATTCACAACTAATCTGTCAAAGTGTGAACGATCCATATCAGAGACAGATGGAGGGTCTTTTTTCTGTTTTGGAAACGGGTTGGAGAAATGAAAGTATGTGGTCTGGAGGGGCAGTAAGTCTGTCGCTGCTGATGGTGGATGCTCAGCATAAACTATGAGAGGGCGCCAAATTGAATGCACAGGTAAACGCATCATCATTTTTGATTATCTTTTAAGGGGGGTGGGGGGGG